GTGCTGGGGCGGTGGTCCAGGGGCGAGCGGGCCGTGCTGGGGCGGTGGTCCTGGCCGGCATCGCCCCCGAGCATCGCCCGGTGCCTGCGGAGCATCCCCGGCTGCCGCTGCCCGGCCCCGGCAGAGCACGGCCGCTCTCCCGCTCGGCAGGGAGGGATGGAGGGATGGAGGGAAGGAGGGATGGAGGGATGGAGGGATGGAGGGATGGAGGGATGGAGGGATGGAGGGAGGCTTTGCGCTGTTTATGGTGAGCGGGGAGTGTAGTAACTGTGCGCCAGCCTCCCAGCGCCCCAGAGCTGCCTCCGGCCCCAAAGCCCAAACGAGCGCTCCCCAGAGCTGCCTCTGGCCCCAAATCCCGCAGGAGCATCCCCAGCTCCCTGGCCGGGGGAGGAAGGGCCCGGCGGCTGCAGGAGAGGGCGGTGCAGCGCCGGTCCCTGCAGGGATCCCAGAGGATGGGGATGCTCCTGATCCCTGTGGGATCCCAGAGGATGGGGATGCTCCTGATCCCTGTGGGATCCCAGAGGATGGGGATGCTCCTGGTCCCCCCAGGGATCCCACAGGGTGGGGACGCTCCTGGTCCCGCTCCTGGTCCCGCTCGGCAGCTCCAGCAGCCCCGGGTGCTTCCCCCGCTTCTCCAGCCCCACCTTGGCCCCGCACACAGCCTCCTGAGGGCTCCGTGTGCCCCCCAGCCCACCGAGGGCAACCCCGGGACCCCCGGGTCCTGCGGGACAGACCCCGGGCCGTGTCCAGCACAGCCGGACCCGGGAGCAGGCAGGGGTGGGAGTTCTGCAAACCATCCTGGCACGGGAGAGCGAGCGGCCGGGCGTGCTCGGGCTGTGTTTTGTGAACAACAGAGCTCTCTATTAATAGAAGCCCTTGATTTGAATAATTATTGTTATTCAGATCGCTCTTGGTGATTAATTCGGTAGAAGGAATTTGGAAGAGTTTCCCCGTGGGAATGCGAGAGGAGGTCTGTGGGCTCGGCTGCTCCAGGAGATGGGAGGAAGAGTTTGGGGCTCAGAGTTTGGGATTGATGGGAGCAGGGTGCCATCCCTGCCCATGGCAGGGCGGTGAGACGAGGTGACCTTCAGGGTGCCTCCCAAAGCCGAACTGCTGTGTGGTGTGATTCTGTTAATGCACCCCGTGCCCTCCCTGCAGCCCCCGGAATGTCACCGGGCTTGGTGATGGAACCATCGCTCTGCAGGCAGGATTTCCTGGGTCATTCCAGCACTAAAGAAGCTCCAGCCACCAGCAGTGGGGGTGTCACCCCCAGTGGAGAAACACAGGAAGGTTTTGACCATAATAAAGCCAATAATTCCCCAAGAGCAGTGGTGGTTCTCAGCAGCCAACACCTCTGAACCCCCGAGGCAGGAGTGCCACCCTGCTGAGGCCTGGAACCATGGAACCACAGAATCATGAAATCATGGAGTGGGTTGGGCTGAGTTAAAGCTCATCTCTTTCCAACCTCCTGCCACCTCCCAGTGTCCCAGGCTGCTCCAGCCCCAATGTCCAGCCTGGCCTTGGGCACTGCCAGGGATCCAGGGGCAGCCACAGCTGCTCTGGGCACCCTGTGCCAGCCCTGCCCACCCTGCCAGGGAAGGATTTGCTGACCACATCTGACCTCTTTTGGTGTAAAACCATTCCCTTTGTCCCATCACTCTCTGCCCCTGTAAAAAAAAAAAAAAAAAAAAAAATCACTCTCCACTTGGACTGCTAATCCAAATAAATCCAAAATTCGGGGGTGGCTGGCTGTGCTGCACTCAGGGCTGGCACAGGGGCTGCAGGATGGCTGCTGCAGAGGTCTCAGTGAGCAGTTAGTGCTCTCCAGGGGAACGTGGGGTGCAGGATATCTGCTGTCCTGGCCAGGCTGGAAACGTGTGCCTGGCATTGGCCAAGGCTGCTGCCTGTGCCAGGGAAGGAGCAGTGCCAGGGAACGTGGGTGGGCACTGGAGCCCAGCCATTGTACAAAGGAACAAGGAAAAGGTCCCCAGGCGACCTCCTCTGTGGGGCAGAGGAAAACCACAACGTGGGAAATGTGGGCTCAGAGGACTCCAGGACCACTCGAGACAACCTCCTCACCCAGCCATGGCAATCTGCCACTGCCAAGTCCCCTGAAAAGTCCCAGGGATCCTCCCTTTCAGCTGCAGACCCTTCTCTCCTGGTTCAGTAACGCCCCCATCCTGCCAGGTTTGCTTTGGGGATGTAAAACACCCTGGAACTTCACACCCCAGCCAGCCTTTGGGTCCTGCTGCCCTCCTGCATCCCCACACCTGGGCTCAGCCCCTCTCCTCTCACAGCTCCCAGCCTTGGCAGCATCCGTGTTCAATTCCCTGCTCCCAGAGCAGACACCTCCAGCACCATCAGCAGAACAAATATTTACCCAGCTGAGAAAAAGTGTGTTTGTTTCAAAAGAAAACCAAAAGGAGGCAAATGTGTCTCAGCAACCCATGGTTCATTTCTTGTTTGTGTGCTGCCTGGAAAGAAGTCTTGTCCCCAGGCTGCTGCTCAATTTCATCTGCAAAATCCACAAACCAAAAATGTTCACAGAGGGACCAGGAAAGCCCAGGTGCAGAGCCAAGCTGCTCCATTTGTTTAGGCTTCTCTCACAACTTTCAGGATATTTGATGCTGACGTCAGTTTTCTAAATGACAGAAGTTCTCTTTGCACCAGAGATCTCCTGATCAGTTCACAGAGAGCCTGGCTCATATCTCTGACTCGAGGCCCAGACAGCTCCTGAAGGACGTGGCTGGTGTTTGCAGCCCCAGAGCTGCTCCCAGGACAGGACACCCATGCCAGCTCGTTCCCTGTCCCCACAGCTGATCCTGTGTCCCCCTCACTGCCACCCACAGCCCTGCTGCTGCTGGGGACAGCAGTGGCCGTGTCCCCACGCCCTCCCATCACTGCTGGCTGGAATGAAAAGTGATGGGA